GTCCTTGTTCCTAGTAGTGCGGCCAGGAGCCCCTAGTAGCGTCCTTGCTCCTAGTAGTACGGCCAGGAGCCCCTAGTAGCTTCTTGTTACTGGCTTGCAGGGTCTGAGTGCAAAAGGACTTCGGTGGGGGGGAACTGACGAAAACTCCAGAAAAGCACAAGAGGCTGACGGACATGGCAAAGGATCTCAAAACACCATCTGGGATGTTTGAAGTGTCAGCTAGTATACATCAACCCGTTAGAGCAGAGCAACAACATTCCGGGATGGTTAGAGTCTGGAGTGTCAGTCAGAAGTCGAAACACGCTCTTCCTCGAAAAATATGGGATGCGTTGTCAAACATATAGGTTTGTTCATTGCCAATGCCCATCTTCAATGATCTAATTTCCCCAAGAGCCGCCGGTTGGGAGGCAGAAGCTATTTCATCTCTTTTGAATCAAAAGCCGCTCCTTCGGCAGCTGCTCATCCACCAAACGAAGGATCTCGAGCAATTCCTGTCGTGCCAGCTGGAGCCGGCAGGAACTGGGGTCTGCAATAGAAGGATTGGGGATATGTAGACCATCTCATTCCAACAACAGCTTGCACCCAGTGCAAGGAGGCAAAGCCCGCATCACCTCCGTTTTCTTAAACTGACAATGTTCTCTCTTTTTGTGGTCTATTTTGTTCATATCCAATCTAGCAAGCCAGCTGTACCATAGGGACGAGCACACCAGCGAACCAAAGGAGCCAGACTTGTGAGGCAAAGGGCACTCCTAGCTGGATCATCTACCAGAAGCACACAAAACACCTTCTGAATGTTTGCACCCAAGGTGCACAAAGTACTGCAAATCTATATCCAAAACCATCCATCGCCAAACGTGCCATAACTCACCCGAAAGTGATTTCCACATTCATCGCCAGGCCACAAGGCCTCAGAACTCCTCCACCCCAGTCAAAGGGCAAGCAAGCCAAAGCCAAGCACAAGCAGGCAAAAGGCAACCCAGCCACAGCGCGAATGGAACCTAGGCTTCCTGCAAGAAGCAGTGTGGAAGTTGACCTGATCTTTCAAAGCAGATCCACCAAGCCATGACTCTCTGACACCGTCCGCAGTCTGCGGCACCGCGGCAGAGAGCGCGGAGAGCGCGCCTTGAGCACCTCCGGCAGTTGTTGCTGAAAATCCTCCGCAGAGTCCAGTCGATGCGTCGATGCGTCCAGAAAACGGTGGAAAGTCAAGGTCGGAATCAACTGGGTACCGAGGGATTGCCATCGGTTAGGAGGATGAGGATTGGGAGTTCAGGGTGAAGGTTTATACGCCACCCATACAATATGCCCTCTTGGCGATGCAATTAGGAATCCATAAGGAGCTTTTCCATGCCTTTCCTGGTGGTTTTTTACATGGGTTCAATGGACCATGAAACCGTGAAGCTGCTGTGCGAGTTCATCATCTTTCCCCGTCCGCAACCCTCAAGTCTCAACCGCCCCCCCTTTAGATTGCTCACGTCACTTTCCGCCTCCAAGGGCAACTCCCATGTGAGCTTCGACAAAGTCCGAAGGCTGACAGAGAGGCCCTCATTGTTTGGACAACCTGAGGCCCGCTGTGCGTTCGCTTCGGTGCGAAGGGCTGTGTGATCGCACGCGGTGGGCCCAAACAGACACGTTCGAAATGAACCCTCTCTGCCAGACATCAATCCGTCAGGAGGTTTGGTAGGGGATCCAACCGCGCAAGGCAGCTGGCATTTGAGGCCCTGGCTCTTCATCAAGCGCACCACCGTCAAGGGTCCACCCACCTTTTCAGTATGAAGCGGACGAGGCAGCAGACGCACCATGAGCAGAGTGGACCGAGCCACGGAGTGCCTAAATGCGTCTCCATGTCCGTATTAAGTGCTTAGCGTCTAGAGTCTACATGCTTTGGGTGACTGACTATCTCCTGTGAACCATGGGACTTGGCAAATCATTATGGATTTCCTGCGCTTCCAAGTGTTTCTATGGTCCAAAACCTGAAAACATCCAAAATCAGTTTCCTTGGCGGGGTAGGCTACAAAACTGAAAAGAGCTTCCTGATGGTCTTGGAAAGCCAAACATTCTGTCTGGTGGCCCCTCCAAGCGCGGCCCTTCCCACACGCACCGCCACGGTGTCCGAGCCGCACCTGCCCCAGGGTCCGCATGGTGTCCCGTTGGTGATTTGGCAATGACCTCAAGCAGCTGCTGTGCCCGTTTGAGAAAGACTTCCTGATTCAGTGTCTTTGCTGCTGCAGCGCGTCTTCCTTGAACAGTTTTCCGGCCGAGAAATTCTACCAGCAAGCAAGTGTCAACAGATGTTCACATATGTTCACCAATCTCAAGGTCATTCAAGGCTTTTCGTACGTTTTCTTTCTTGGGCATCCCGGCTGGCCGCATTTTACCAGGCAGTCCAGTGCCTTGGTGCACCGAAGGCTACCAAGCGATCTCGTGGGACAGGGGAAGATCAGGGTCTTTTCCACTTCCGTTTTGACTTTGTTGCATCACCCCCCTTCCACTCAAGTCACTCAAAGTGCTTTGTGCAATTCAGGATGGACCCAGGACTCTGAGGGTTTTCCGAGAAGAAACGAGCATCCCAGAAATCCTCATCTGCGCAGGTTTCTACAAGGACGATGCACGGTTTCCTCCAACGTCGCCCACAAACTTCACCCACCGGGTCTTCAAGCACCAGATGTACATACTCCACAAACGAAGGGAACTAGTATTAACTAGGAAGAAGAATAACCCTCAACAAACCCCTTCCACTGTGCTTCACTAGAAAACTCCAGCTTCACTTGGCAAAAAAAATCACAACGACGCCCGCTTTTTAGGCAAAAAGGCCACCCACTCCATCCGTGTCGTCGAAATCGCTCAACTGACCCGTGCTAACAAAAGCTCACTCGTCACGAGGCACCCCCAGGTTTCGGACTTCCGTCGCCGCCGTGGAGTTCCCTGGAATCCGGAGCTCGGTCGCGGAGCTCGGGCGAATGAGGTGGCCACCGGAGGGTCCAATGCTCGGAGGGTCCACCGGAGTCGGCGTCGATCGGGGGCAGAATCGGTGCCTTGTCAGTTGTGCACATACTTTGAGTGGGTTACAACTACTGTTCATGCAAAAGTCCTTGACCGAACCTGGAGTCCCCAAAACAAGAGTGGGACATCGTTGAATAGCATGTTTCTGAGATGACGCAGAATCTCAGAGATGTGAGTTCAATCAAGAATAGGTCCCCGATCTGTGTTTGCACAACAAACGGCAGGCATTTACCTTGGCCATATCTTGGTGCTTATCTCGCTCACACTGTCAAAAAGCTGAAAGCTTTCCGAACTTGATCTTTGACGCCAGATGCTGGAATCTATGGAAGTAGTGACGGCAAAAGATCCAGGAGTCTACTCTCCGTAGACTGGCCCTCCACAAAGATCTAGAATCCTTTTTCACTAAGTCGCTAGGAAGAAGTTCAAAGCCCTTTTCCCGGCAACGACTGCCTTGCACCAGCACAGCCATGAACCAAATGCCCGCCTAGGGGTGCGAGGGCAACACGCGCAGAAAGTGAAGAGAATGGAAGACTTCCAAACTGAACATCCGATGTGCCTGATTTGGGAACTTGTTGGGGCGATCTGAAGATGTCAAATTATTTTGAGGTCTTGACATCAACACCCCATGACCCCCGTCACTGGGCTCCGAGTAACGATGGCAGCTCCGGGTGCTAAGGCAATCCATTTTCGGCATGTTGGTTTTGAAATGTCTTGAACATCATACAACCCTTGAGAGACTTCCTTCCAATACTGACAGGGGGGCCAGTTCAAGTCCACTTCCATGATCTGCAAACTGTTCTATCATGCTACCAAGAAGGAGCACTACATCGTGGAAGCTCCGGATAGAGGTGGCCATTGATTCACTCTTGAGACATCCGAGAGTTTTGCCATCGACTGGGGGACCGGGAACAGCAAGGTCTTGGTCCTTTAAAGGTCCTTTTGGCAATTCAAAGCGTGTAGACCTGTTGGAAATGACATCCAGAAACTCACCCCAAAAGGTTCACCCCAAAATGACCTTTTCTCCCTCTCTCCCTTTCAAGCCATCCCAACTGCTAGCCTTCCTGTCTCTTTCACCCCGAACCACCCACTTTCCAGCCGAAGGCACCAGACATGCAAAGGGCTCGAGCGGCAAGGACAAGGCCTCCAAGAGTACCTCGCGGCCAACCGCACGTGGACCCGGGCCGCACGGGCCGACGACCCCGTCGGTCGAGACTGGGTCGGAAGACGACCGGTGCGGCCCGGGGGGGGTGGTCCGTGGTCGTGGCTGTCGTTGGTGAAGGCAAAACCTGATGTGCTTGGGCACACGAAGTCTTTCTCCCCAGTTCACTCCTGCCTTCCCTCCACCGTGCTGCATGAAGAGCATGCCGCGCTGTGCTTGGTCCTGAGCGATTGCTGCACCACCTCCTATCCGCCCCAGCGGAAAGCTCATCCATTCACCGATGCTCAGCGACCGCACAAGGCCACAGCTCAGCTTCATCCTTTTTTAGCTCTCTGCTCCACCCAGCTGATTCCTCCAATTACGAAGTTCCATTTTAAAGAACATCGTCTGCAGTAACCAATTATTCAGGAAAGCTTGGAAACCGTCCGCACGGAGCCATCTGACGTCCGTGTCCATAACCAGCAAAATGTCCAAGTCTTCTGAAAGCAAAAGCTTTGAGAAACGATTGGCTTTGTTCCACTTGTTTGCCAATGGCGCAACAAGTGCAAACTCCTCGGGAGTCCCACCCGAAGATGAACTTGTGTTCGTTACGCAAGTCGCTCGACACGTCACATGATGGCCCTTTTCGTAGACAACATCGAAGGGTACAACTGAACTCACTTCCCACTCCGTGTAGTCAGACTTGTCTACAGCAACTTTGGCTGGGAGTTGACTTTTCGCCAGCACCGCCTGGATCATGTCCTTCATGCTTTCACTATTCTCACCTGTGGGTGGAAAGGCTTCATTGTGAAGTCGCTGGAGTTCACGTTGGAGTTCACTGATCTGGTCAGCGCGGTCTTCATCTGCCCGCCTGGCCGCAAGAGTGCCAAATTTTCCCCAGCGAAACAACTCAAAGGCCTTTAAATGTGGTCAGACCTCAAATGTTTGGACCTTCTAACACGCACACCATTGGAGAATTGGAGACCTAGCAATAGGACTTCTGGTACCTATTTATACATATATATATATATAAATAGCTAGTTCAGGATCGGGGCAAACAAATCTAACCATGCAATAATTTTGCTGCCCCCCCCCGTTCGTCGGGCTCTAAACTTGCCCAGTTGTAAAGATGAGACGTGACCACCACGTCTCAAGAACGAGTACGCGCTTGGGGAGCACGCAGCTTCCTACCTCTGTGTCCAACGTGGAACCCTTCGCGCATCTTTGGAACTTGTAAATAAAGGAGATGTGCCAGGTAGTCGATGATGTACAAAGGTCCTGAGAACGAGATGGTCATGTCGAGCTAACGGCCCCTGATGAGTTTCAGCCCTATCCCTGCCCCCATTTAATCGAAAAACAATGTCCTAGAAATCGCCGCCAAGAACAGACATTGGGCAAGCAAGGCCCTTGTGTGAGCCATTGCAGCAATGGTTCTGACTCCAAGTACTAGTCCCTGAGCCAATATCGCTGCTGCGTGCCGTATCTGTGGAACTGGCCTACTATGGGCAAGTCAAGGGCCAATCCAGCAGAACTCTATGAAATGGCTCAATCCTGGGTTCAACAGGACTTGGAAACACTCTACCGCTGGTAGATGATGTCTTGTGCTGCCTGGCAATGCCTTCTCACGAACTGAGTTCAGCCATTCACGGCCGTTCAGCCGTTCACATCCACTGCATCCTGCCACCTGGAACCCTCCGCCAGGAGGGTCGCCCCTGCCCCTGGGCGCCCCAGACATGGATCAGCTCATTCAGAACTTTGAAGCACCTGCCGCGCACATTAGGGGAGGTCCTTCCGAGTGGCCAGTGGCAACGCCCAAAAATACGGATGGGAAAGCGTCAATGGTAGTGATTGACATGATTCAGTGTCAAAACCATTAGAACCTGACCACGTCTATCCATGCTTTGCATACGACAACTACTGAGTTCAAAACGTTGGATTAACTCATGAAGTTTCTGACTGAGCAACCCACGTTGCAAAACCCCCCTCTACCGGAGACCCCGCAAGTCGACACTGGGGAACCGCACTCGCAAAGGAACTGGCTCGTGGGCTGCGAATGCCTCCAGTTGTCAAATGACATGTTCTTTGTAGGCTCCAACTGACTAACATGGACGTGAATGGCATCGCCTGTGGGAAGACTATGTTCCTTTCACCAACAGGAGGTAGCCTCCTCACATCCTCTCGGTCAGTATAGAAGAATGGACTGGTGAGAGTTCCAAACAGGTTTAGGGTGTGTGGGAACTCCACAACCATCCCCTACAGTCGCCCAATAGATTGTGCTGTCTAGTCAACCCTTGTTGCCCTTGCGTTTTGGCACACACCCAGGTTGTTCGGGATGGAGGGTGGGTGGAACCAAGCTGTGGAACACAAGCTAGACAATCCCGCCCAACTAAAGAACATAAAGAACAAGTGGAACCCTCCACAGCTGAAAAATGGATGATCTTCCAAACACTCCTCCTTTCGCCATAGCGTGTTTTCGCCCTCGCGCCACACTTGTCCACCTTTTGGTTCATTGGCTTCCAAGACACGAGCGCATAGAGGTCAAGATGCCCAGCACCAGCAAATCCGCCTCCGACCAGGCTGCCGATCCCTCCTGTCCGCAAAGCTTCGGACCCCCAAAGCGAAGCAAGCAGTGTTGGCGAGGTCTGGGGTTCGTGTGAGAACGACCAGTGTCTGGTCAGGGATTGGTTTTCCGGAAAGATGGTGGCATGATCAATCACAACAGAGGTCATGTAGAACGTTGATAAATAACCTCTCATGTTGATTGCAAAACCTCTTCTACCTCCCGTGCCAAGAGAAGGTTGTCCCTCGCGGATTGGCGGTACCGCCAGCGTTCCACTGAAACGATAATCGAAAAGCTCCCATGCACATGCAAGATCAGGAGAAAACAACAAAAGGAAATCGGCCACAGCGAAGTTCCAAGCCGACATCAGGGAAAGCGTAGCATCAGACATGAAGGGGCGTCCGCCGCAGATAGCCCCTGGAGGCATGGATTTACCCAATGTGTGTGCAGTGTGAGCAGCGTGTCTCCCTGGTGTAATCGCAGCTGTCAACTTTCTTCTGCAAAAAGTGAAAACTGCTTTGAGCCACTTGGTCAGTGCCTGGAAGGTACAATGCTCATCTCGAAAAAACGGTTGTTCTCAAACCGTGAAACACGAACAGGATGGCAAGTTCGTTGTAAGTTGTAAGACACCATGGAGTTGGCATCAACTTGCCAATAAAGGAGGTTAATGATCCAACCCGCCGGAAAGTGATCCAATCTTCATCTGGAAAGTTCCAACCCGCCGGTGCAAGGGCAGTCCATCTGGGGGGAAAAGTCCAGGTGAAATCAACAGGGTTGGCTTGCCACTTCAACAATGGAAATTGGCTTTCTGGGGACAAATTATCCTCCAATCTTTCATCATCACTCTCCTCTTGTGAAGGAGGGATGTCCTGCCCAAACAAATATAGAGTTCCGTGAGCCATTCTTACCTACGAAGCACTTCTGCACAGAGTGAATCATGAATAAGGAACAAGAAAGAAACAAACGGTGTCTCAGGTGAACCAACTTAAAGAAGCTACTAGGAGCAAAGGGCATCGCTACTAGGAGCAAGAAGCTACTAGGGGCTCCTGGCCTCGCTACTAGGAGCAATGTTCGCTACTAGTAACACGAATAGGAATAAGTCAGGTGAACCAACAAGAAACAACGCTGGCTTCCAGTGTTCCAAGCCGGTTCGTCCCATTCCTTGCCGCGCTCACGTTGTTGCTCGGAGAGCTCTCGGATGGCCCGGAAGGTGGCCTCCGCACTCCGGAAGCGTTGGGGGGCGGAGACGAAATCCAACTGAGCTTCCAAGAGCTTCACCTTCGGCCTACATACATAATGATACATATACTACATATCATTGAATATGCTGTATATTGTTATATATTGTCTTATATGCTTCTGGGAGACTTGGGAACCTCCAAGAAACAAAAATGCCGGGTTGGGAAAGCGACGATGAGAACCCCGCGGATGAGCGCGCCTGCGCAGAAATGGTATGTTCCAAGTCCAATTGTCCAGAACGACCAGTGACTACTGAAAATTCCCTCACTTCTCTAGAGGTTGCTATTGGCAGAGTTCTTGCCCAATCGTAAACCAAAAACTTCTTGTCGGTCAAGTCTTTGAACTCCAACGTTTACTTCACTGTGTGGAAAGATCCCGCAAATCTCACCGGTCACGAAGACAAGTCAACTCAGGAAATATGTTCACCCAAGCCTCATGGTTGACTGGAGAAGACAAAGCAAAAAGCTTAGCACACCCGGACCGCTTCAGGATGGTGAGAAACTCTCTCTTCGCGTCTTGAAGAGTCGGGCAAAGCACGACAGAGCTCTTGGACCCAATTGCCAACGCTCAATGCACTTCTTGACCTACGACATCACAGAAACACATCACAGGAGAAATGATCAAGCTAAAATACACTGAATGACATTTGTGAAACGCAGTTGGAATTGTATCTTGTTCACTAGATCAAGTCCATTACGTGTTCTTCTTGCCTTGCAAATGCAATAGAACTTTATATTATTTATATGATATGTAAGTATATGGTTCCTCCCGAAACCAAATTGCCACCTTTGACAGACCCCCCGCCCACAGCAGTCACATCCCCAGTCCCACCAGTCACACCGGAAATTGAGTCCGTGGATCCCAGATTGTCCACAAAGGGCGCCCTGTTCCCGGACATCCTTCTCTAGTTGGAGCTGTCCTGCTCGACAATAAGCGTGAAATTATAAAGCTCTTCCCTCAGTACGGATGGCGGAAAAAAAAGAAATGAGAACCTCCCTCCAAACACCATGAACAACCTCCTCCGCTTTTGCCACGTCCGCTTTTATCTCCGCCCGCCTGCTGGACAGCCATTGTGCCAGGCAAGTTGCCCGGCATGGCCTGACGCCAGACGGCGGCTGGGCCGCAGGGAGGGCGGTTTCGGGGTCATGGAGAGGTATGAACGGTAGAGAGAGAGAGAGAGAGGATCGGATCCATTTGCTGCATTGATTTGTAGATTCAAGGATTTGACCTGTGGGTGTCAAGCCCTTGGAAAAAGCTAAAGGATCACTGGCAGTGGCTGGGTTGTTCTGCTGGAACAGTGGTGGTTGATTCTGCATTCTTGGACTCTACTGAAGTTTGCTCAACTCTAAAGTACTGAGACCTAGGCAAGACATTTGCTCCACTGAAACTCCAGCAAGCGGTGAACCAAGATCTACTCACGATCTCTAGGTTGGGGAAGCGAGTCTGCTTCCCGTTGAAACAACCGCACTTCTCCTCATGTTGGAATTAAGGACCTTCCTTGAGAGCCTCTTCCAGTTGTCAATGTGTCCATTCTGGCCGATGAATGATTACGGGTACACTGGTGACTCAAACGGTCCACGCTTGCTTCCAGATCAATCCCTTCCTACGATGGCTGCACCAATCGCCCGGTGTCGTCTCCTGGGTGAGCTTCAGAAGCTCCACAAAGCCGCCAGTGCCTTTCAAGACATAACCGATCCTCAGGCTGGACCGCCGAAAGAACTCCACCGGGTCCGCGAGAAGCGCGGAAAAGACGGGGCCGTAGTTTTGGTGTGTCGGACGACGACTTGACAGAGGGGGATCCCTGGTAAAGAAAGACATCTTTGGTAGTTGGAGGGGATCACCAGCTTCCTCGATTGCATGAGGACCTTGAGATTCTTGACGTCACCTTGGACAAACCAACCAAGGACCATCCACTACAGACGCCCCAGACCAAGGCTGTCGACGTCCATCCGACTGTCCAAGGCTGGGCTCCCAGACCATGCACCCTCCTCTTGTAGCTTCGCATGCTCCGGGTGCCGGGCCATCGCCTCAGTCAACACATCGCCACAAGACAAATGTGCCAAAACATGCCAAAACACCATCAGCTCATGCGCTGACTGTGATGCCCGTGACAAAGTCTTCCAAACCTGGCAGCTTCAGCTTCTCCCGAGCGCCTCAGCAACAGCGCAGAGGCCTCCCTTCTCAGCAATCCAGGCACGGGCCACCTGGGCGGTCATGTTGGGTCTTTTGCCGCGTGCCGTCGGCGAGCGGGACGTGGGTCGAGTGGCAGGTCCTTGAGACACTTGAGTTTGGTGGAGCACGCCCTGCTTGAGGAGCATACATGGAGGGGACCTCCTTTGATCGCACTACAGGCCATGACGGGGGTTCTGGTGTGCAAGCGGGCTTTTCACACCGCCCACTCCCCAAGATGAAGCGTCGTTCCTGGGCAAATGAAGAGCCTCCAGAAATCTGACCCAAAGGGGTTTGGTTGCTTTTCGGACCATTTTATACTCAAAAGTAGCTGATGAAATGGGTTCAGCAGTTCCCCACCGAATGGCGAACCTGTTGGAGCAGAATCTCCTAGTTCATTCTGCTTTATTGGGCCACCTTGGCCCACCCGCCCACATCCACCTCGCATCGGATCCGATCACACATCGACCGAAAGCACCCGCACCTCGCTCTGTTTGCCAATGTGCCGCAGCGACCACAACCTCGGACGGCGCCGCGGCGCGTCGTCGTGAAGAGTGACGGACGGCGCCAAGCGAGAGCGAGCACGAGAGCGAGTTCGCTCTCGTTCCGCGTGCGAGCTCCGCGTGGGAGCGGACTGCATGGGCTATACACTGGAGGCTTAGCTTTTCTGGAGAGACATGGGGTCCAACAAAACCTTCAAAGACTGGCACGCAGCTTGCAACTGCCACACATTCCCATCCTCCGGATCAACTGAGACAACACACTCAAAGCCACAGAAAAAGCGTTGCCGCCCAATAATCTGGAAATGATCTGGCTCTTCGAACGCCCTGTTCCGAAGGCGCAAGGGATGGCGCCATGTCGTTCTGTCAAAACAGCCAGGCGCGGGTCCTTCCGATGGTCCCGGACAAAAGCTGGAGATGTCATCTTTCCAATTCAGCTTGATGGTCAAATCTGTCCCACTCGAAAAGATTCGTCACTGTGGCTGGACTGTTGGGATCGCTTGACATCTTCCGGTCAACAAGAAAACAGTTGATGAATAGTGCCAAGAAGGGCAAGTACACAACACTGCGCGAGGACAACAGTATATTATATATATTTATATAAAGTATCTCACAAAGAGAGTGTAGTGGAACGGACACAAGAGCTGCACATGCCTGACAATTTTCTGGTGGAAAGATGCATGCTGATCAAAGATCAAAGCTGCAGAAGGCAGCAGGTGGGCCTTAAGCCTCCAAAAAGGGACCGCCAAAAACAAAACACGACAGTGCAAAAACATGCAGAAATGAGGCCACCTGAACGGAAGAAAAGAAAAATATTTTGCAGTCTGGTTGTGCTTCGACATTTGCCTCACACGCCCTTGCTCCGCCGTCCCACGCGACACGCCACCGCATCCGAGGAACTGGTCGTAGGCCACCGCGTCGCAGCTGGGCCGAAGCAGGGCATCCACCAGCGCCTGCACCTCGCCGGGGCGGCGCGGCGCTCGAGCGTCCCAAGCATCGGGGCTGCAGAAATGCCATGAAACCATCCCAGAAACATCATGAAACCCAAAAGTGGATGAGGACCCATTTTTGGGGGGGCGTTACCAGGAGAGCGCGTTGGAGGGGCAGTTTCGGACATCATGGGTTGAACACATTCGAGGACTGTGCAAATTGACACTTTTTGGGGATGTAAAAGATTGTGTGTTCTGACATATCAGTTGTGGGAGGACCACATGGATTATTCCTGAACTATGAGGAACCCCGATATACTCAATAGAAATTGATGACCTTGACACCAGCACCCCCCGCAAGCGGACCTGACCTGCTCTCAAAACGGATTCGTTGATTTCGACCGCTTCTCAACAGTCACGCACAAAATCAAAAAGAGTATATATATATATATATATAGACCAGCAGTCACAAAGGGGTGCCTATTGGAGGATAGGGGTGCCCATTATCTACCCGCTTAGGGACTAAAAACCACCCGTCTTGTGACTCCTGGTAGATTCCTGATTTCAGTCGTCTTTCTGGGAGAACTTGTTCTCCGAAAAATACCCCGCCATGGATCGGATGCTCTGCTCTCCACACACCGCTTGGATCCCCTGCCACGTTTTTACATTCGCCTGCGAGGCAGTTCTCGGCAGAATAAGAAATAATTGTGACGAACCGTGGCGATGCCCTTTTTTCCGAACGTAGCGAACCGTGCTCCTAGTAGCAAGGCCAGGAGCCCCTATAATATAGTAGCGATGCCATGGCAACGTCAGGTCAACGGCAACGTTCATTTGGAGATTTCTAGCTCCGTCCATGTGCTGGGTGGTTCGCCGCGAGTTGACCCTTCTTGCTGCTCTCCACACAGTTGAAAAAGAAGAATCCAGGCAGGGTTAGCAACGACCCCTGTGCTTCAAGGCGGATCAGCGCTACAGAAATGAACCACTGGGGACCCTTTCACACCAATGTCAGGAGAGCTTTGACCATTCAAAAGGAGCACTGTGTCTGAAGTCTAGCAGAACACTTGTACAGGATTCTGTCTTTCAGGGAGCGGAATGCTGAACCTGGAGATCCTTGCTGGCAGGTACACCCTTCATCTAAGCCCAAAACTGGTGTGATACCAAATCAAGTACTACCTTCAGGAACCTAAACAACCCTTGAACACTAGTTCTAACAACCCAAGGCAAAGTAGAAACGATTTCCACTACCATCTCCTAACTTTAACGCGCAGATATCCGAGATCCTGTCTGGTACAGACAGGAGGAAAGATGAAGTTCCCCTGAAGACTGGAGTGAGCTCGAATGATCAAACCAGTATATCAGGGCCCATGATTTCTGGTACGCGGGGTTGCTCCACACTCCCCTAACGCGCACTCGGGCTGGTTTAGAAAATGAATCTATGCAGTGAAAACACCCCTTGCTTCATTTGTGGGCGCTGGTCGTTCAAGAGCTAGCACGCACAACTCTAGGCTTCTTTGTTCTTTCTCCAAGACTCAGGCAACTGCACACCAGCTTCTGTTTCCATTGAGGAGAGAACCTTCAGGGCCCAGCCCCATCCACTGGCCTTCCACTTGCAACAGCAAGCGCCGGGTCGCTTGACACACTTGTGTCTTCAACGGCCTAGGCCACTTTCGCAGGTGGATGTCACTTAAACTTAGTGATTTTGAGCTGCCTAGAAAGGTCCCTGGAAAAGGGATGATCCCAGCCGCATCCTGTGTGGGCGCCGGCGAAGGTTCTATGCGGTTCCAGAAAACAACATACATCTGGGAGACCAGTGGCTTTGTAAATTTTGAACAGAACATCTGCTCAGAACCGCAGGTTTTCTGGTAGTGCGGAACCCCAGAAACGATACCCCTTCCTTAAGTTCTATGAGACCTGACTCATCCTTCTAGGAAATATACGTCTCTTCAATCTAAATGTGTATCAAAAGCTCGGGTCTATCCTACACCTAATAGGAGTGGACGATGATCCTTCCATTGCTACTTCGCATTGCCAAGGACCTGATTTCCAGAAGATAGCAATAAATTCTTGCCGACGAATGCTGGGACTCAGAATCTGCACGACCGAGCCAATCATCCTCGATCTTGTACATCCCCAAAACTACTCAGCCAAAGAATACACATCGAACCTGTTCGCACCCAAAAACATTCATCCGAAGTCACTAGACCTTTCGCCTGAGGCCCCTGAGACCCTGAGGCCCGGAACTCGCATTGAAGCCTGGACGCACACCTCGCCACGCGCAAAGCGCGCCAACGCGGCTTCAGTGGATTCTAGACAGGCTGTGCCCGACTTCTTGTCGTTCTCTTGCTGGTTGGTAGTGAAAGAGGACCTGCTAGAGGTGGTTAATCCAACTTCCAAGGGTACAGCGTCCTGGAATCCGTGTCTTGGGAAGAAAAGCTGAAGTTCGACTCCAAGCAGTCGAGAGTCAGCGGGCGGACACAGGACACGATGACCGGCCCCTTGGGCTTCGACAGTCGACAGAGTTCTACAAGTGGTGAAACTCCAAACATCGCAATCGTAGAACCCAAATCGCCAGACATCAAACCACGCAACAGGCCCCTGGCATGTCAACCGGTACACAAGTAGTGAACAAAGATGGAGAACAGACACAATTACAATGATAGCAGCTGTCAACTGGATGGTTGCTTCTACTCCAAGCCATGTCACAGAAAGGACGCTGAAAAGCTACCAACAACTGGTTCTGAGCTCGACAGCGAGGAAGAACTCATCTCCTCTTCCCTCCAAACATCGAAAAAGACTCCGACTCGAACGGCACCGCTCTGCGGGGATCTTGATCCCCCCAACCCCGTCGAAGAAAACGGCACGTGCACCCGCGGCACCCCCGCGGCGGTGCCCGCGGTGCCCCCGCGGCATCGGAGCTGAGGCTGCTGGCTCGGCCAGAGCCGCCAAGGCGCCCACAATCTCAGGGCTCTTGTGGCTCTCGTCGCCTCGCAGCAAAATCGAACCGCGAGGCGCGCCGAGCAGAACACTTTGGTCCACAACACAGTAGGTCAGTAGGTGCTTCTAGTTGTCAGATACGTCGAAAGGGTTTCTATTGTGGTTGAAAAGGGAGACTCACTTCTCATCACATTTCGCCGTTATCCAACTGACAGTCGTCTTTTTTCTCCAGCTCATCCCATCCTAGTCATGCAGATCAAGTCAACCCTACTCTGTTGACCCTTCGGTATGGCAGTGTTGATGAATCCTTGATCACTTGCATAGTTCGCAAGTCCAGCTTCTTCTCAGCTTCCTGGGTGCGGAACATCTGTGCAGCACCGGTTGCCAGTTCAGAGGCGAAGGCTCGGACACACTCCAGTCGTGGATCCAACGGATCAACTCGAAACGTCACCCCCACCATCCGCGACGGCGGCAGGTTAAGCGCCCAGCAAACATCGGGCAACCGTTGGAGGGCCTCAAATTCAATCCCCGTGGCTGCGAACACATGAATTTCATTCGCTTGGTCGCTGCTTCTGAGTTGGTTTCGAGCTCCCCAGTTAGAGACAAACGGTGTTCCATCCATATGTAACCTCTTTTGACTTTTGGAAACGTGTTTCTCTGATTCAGGGATTCAGTCCTACTTGTTGCCAGTCGCAACCAAACTCCCGGATCTGGCTCGCTAAAAAGGGCGCTAGGCCGTGGCTCCGTCAGTTTCTCCCCACGATCCAAAGAGATGGATCCGTGGTTTACACCCGGGACGTGAAAAACCGGAGTCCAAGGCTTTTGTTTTCCCAACCACACGGTCTTCAAGCCTTCTTCCCTTCTTCAATCCATTTGGGTGCTCTGTCTGAGTTCCCTACATGACTAAAGATCCTGAGATCTACTCGAATGAGCGGTCGGCTGGGAAGCCCGACGCCCATGCGGCGTTCACCGTGTCCAAGTCCATGAAAGGTGCGCAGTGCGTGGTGATTCCCGGTGGGTGTGGATGATGGGAGGGAAGGTGGATCAGACGAGCAAACACAGGTCAGAGCAAACGGTCAGAGCACATCCTAGCACCACAGGGTCACAACTCGCGGTCAGTGCCAACTTCGACCGGATCGTTTTGGGCAGAACTGGATTTCAGGTGGCTGGGTTCCCAATCAAATATACGACATCTGCTCTGGTGGGGTTTGGTTTGACCTGGTCTGGCGGTTTTCCGTGGGGTATGGCTCAAAAATGAAGTGCCCACGAAAACCGCGGGTCTTCATCGACCTCCCCTTCAGGAAACGGTTTGCAAAGCAGCCAGTGCTCAGCCGCATTCTGACAACTTGGCTTGTTCGAGGCAGGGTATCTCATTTGAAAACCCCTGTTGATGACGTCCGTGCCAAGAGTTCTCTGCTCGGACCCCGAGGGCGACATGCACAAGTGAGCCGAAAAGCTGCGCAACAGGGTTGAGAGATGTTTGAGAGTTTCTGCATCAGCCAAGATATCCACAAGTTAATCCCTTTGCACTTGACTTGGCCCTTGTAGTTCGGCTCATCACAGAGATGTCCTTGCAGCTCTGGTGCCTTGTGGTACTTTGTTCTGTCCTCAACATTGGCGTGGGCCTATGCCCTCTTCAGCAGTTCGGGCTCCGCGGGGTTTTCCAAAGAACATCAACCCAACATCAACCCATACAAACACAGGGCAGAGCAAGGACTGAAGTCCATCTAACAAACAGAACTGTGAAACAAATTTCCCACCCACTTCTCCAATCCCAAAACCTCTGGAGCCTGAGTCGACACATGCTCGCCAGCACCACCTGTTGCTTGTCGAGCCACCACCACACAGTACCAACACGGCTACAAATCTATGGACTGTTCTTTAAACAATCGGAACCCAAATTCGGGACAAGGTGCAACACCTACAGCTGGAAACCCCTCAAGACTGTGGCATGTCTTCAACTGAAAACCTATCAACCAAACTGACCCCCCATCCACCCCTCTACTACCCCTCCACCATCTCTGTATGTCCCCCATTTCCCCCGACCCGACCCGGCCGCGCTCCCCTTCTTCCGGCGCAGCTTCCGGCGCTTCTTTGGCGCGGCGGTGGTCAACGGTGGCTCCTCGGTGTCAACGGAAGAGGCGAGTCACGCCATGGTTTGCCATTGGCACGGGTGAGAGTAAATGCTCTGTTTGGAATTATAAGGAATGACTTGGGTTTGTCTCAGAGAACCTCACAGCAAGTCGTTTGGTATTCCCAAAATCGTGTGGGCCCCAGAGTTAACTGAGGTACCTTCGGGTGAAACCAAATTAGAGTGGATGGAACAAACATCAAGATGACCACTCATAACCTGTGGGGTCTGTTAGGGGGGCCTTGGTGGTTGACGTGGATCCTGTACCTAAATGAATCTAATCTAACATAGCTGAGACATCGAAGCCATGCACTTTGAGGTGCTCCAACGGAGCCAGCAACCTCCCAGCAACCCTGGCAACTGGTAAATTCAACCGATTGTCAATGAGTGCTCACTCCAAACATGTCAAATCATCCAGCAGAACTACTGCAAGGTCACCAATGGCGAACGGCGCCAGACGCGACATTTAGGGCGCCTCGTGTTCTGGCTTGGCATCGTTGACAAAGATCAGGTCGCGAGGGAGCTTGGTGCCGAAGCAGAACCAGCACAAATACTTGAAGGGCAGAATCTCCTGTCGTGTGATTGGTGGGCAAGTTCGTATGTGTGTGTGTGTGTGTGTGTCACGCCGAGTTTGAAAGAATTCCTAAAGCCAGTCAAATGCGTCAAATGCTTGAGAAACGAAGGCTGATTCCATCACTCCCAAGGATGGTGGGGTGAAGGGAGAGGGCAAATGAAACCTAACATTTGGCCTGCCAAGTTGGCACCCCAAAGTGAGCGACAGTCATGCGCAAAAGTCTGTGAACGTCACAAAGCAATCTATGAAAACCAAACACATATACAGTATTACTATTGTAGAATATGATTTGGAGAGAGACCAATACATATACACCCCTGCACAGCAATATGCACTTCCAAAAGCAATCTCCCCCTGTAGGCCCATGTGATCAAACTCCGAAGGGAACACCCAACGCTCTCCTCCGTTTGCAAGGTTGGGATGTTGTTGGCCCAGTGGGTAGGGTGACAAAATCCTCCAAAAGTTCTGGACCCGAACTGTTTGCAATGGATCCTAAAGTTTTCAAACATCCGCTTCAACGAATTCGTCCAAACGGCTTTCTGACGGCCCCAACCGTCCCAACCCAACCCAGAACCCCTTGGACCACTGACAGTCGTTGGGAGACCGACCACGGTCTCCTCGCCACTCTTCCGGACGTGCACCCGTCGAGGGATCAAAGCCTTCACAAAGCAAAACATCTTCATTAGGGTGGAGGCCATCGCTATTGGGGTGGAAGCCATCGCTATTGGGGTGGAGGCCATCGCTATTGGGGTGGAGGCCATCGCTATTAGGGTGGAGGCCATCGCTATTAGGTTGGAGGCCATCGCTATTAGGGTGGAGGCCATCGCCATTAGGTTGGAGGCCATCGCTATTTGGGTGGAGGCCATCGCTATTAGGGTGGAGGCCATCGCTATTGGGGTGGAGGCCATCGCTATTGGGGTGGAGGCCATCGCTAATAGGGTGGAGGCCATCGCTATTAGGGTGGAGGCCATCGCTATTAGGCTATTACAGTTTATAGGTTGGAGGCCATCGCATAGGTTGGAGGCTATTGCTATTTGGTTGGAGGCCATCGCTATTAGGGTGGAGGCCATCGCTATTAAGTTGGAGGCCATCGCTATTACGTTGGAGGCCATCGCCATTAGGTTGGAGGCCATCGCTATTAGGGTGGAGGCCATCGTTGTTGGGTTGGAGGCCATCCCTATTAGGTTGGAGGCCATCGCTATTAGAAGCCTCCACACTGTTGATGGAAGGAAGCGACATTGGAAGACTTCTTGACAGAATAGCCTGTGCTGTTTTAAAAAAGAGAGCTCTCGCAATGTGTTGCGCGCAGCACAGCTGGCCTGGACCCGTTTCATGTCGATGATGTCCCGCACAAAGCCTCCATCAGAGTTGGCGTGAGCGCTGGGCAAATGCCACTTGGACCCCGCCGTCCAAAAAGCACAACATCGCCGGCGAATCGCCGGAGTTAAATTCCAAGCTGGTGACTGTTTGGCTTGGCACCTGATCGAAAAAATGAGGCCCAAACACCTCGCCTGAATTTGCATTTCCAGTGCCTACTACAAGGCTTTGCTGGTACCGCCCCTGCTGGTAGGGAGAGATTTCCACTGGGGGTTCAACTGTTCTGCTCATCTCAACCCCCTAAAAGGATACTGCATGCCTTGTACACTCCATTAGCACAAACCACTGTTCCCAGTGCTTCTTGTTCCATATGGACCCGCAAAAAGAAATCAATCTATCGGGCTTCTGATGGTCACGTGGGTGTATGTTGAAGTAGTGTTTCCCCCCAACCGATGGGTTTTGGTCTGTGTTTCCTCTTTCGGGCAGTCTTTGATGGGTCTCCGGAATTCAAGACAATCCCAATCCCATGTGAACACAATATCTGGCTAAACAGCATAGCTTTATGATAGTTCTACATTGCCACTTAGGGGTCTCCCGGTGCCGCGTCTCTGCTCCCACCTACGTGGAGCACAGAAATGGGCAATAGCATCACAAAAGGCTTCCCGCACTGCGCCAGCGCCCGTAGCACCCGCTCCTCTCCGAAAAATGAATTCTTAGGACCCGGTCCGCCTATGAAGACACGGGAGTTTCGGGTCACGGCAACTTGGAAAGCGAACTTGAAAATGTAGAGCTCGAATTCTTACCCCTTTGGAGACACGTGGCCAAAAGCGGACTGGGGAGAGAAGAAGAAGAGAGAGAGAGAGAGAGAGAGGGGCACTCGATCGCCACACAGGTGGTCTCTCCAACTCAGTTTCAACCAGCGTGACGCAGCTTCACCTTCATCTCTGGCGCTGTGTAGGGCGGGTTGTCCCAAATGAGGTCTATTCCTGAGCCGTGCTGGGGGTCCACGATGCGACTTGAAAACAGATCTTGCCTTGTCTCCGAATCTTGCTTTAGAGGATTGCCCGAATAGTGAAGAACAGGAAATGCTATTTTGAGCTCTGCTCACATGGTGGCAGAAAGAAAGACCGTCCTTTCTTGGCAGGTTACTGTGGTCGGGTGCATTCCAGGCCCTGCGATGATGAATGTGTTGATTTCATTTCCTTATAAACAGGATTCAGCAGTGGCTTCTCACCATTCGCCTCCAAAGCGAAAGGGAATCCTGTTCTCGGCCCAACTGTGGCACTGCCGTTCGTTATCTCCTCAGCAGAGTTCCATGGACCCGACCAGTCTCACCATATGTTCTGCGAGGCTCCGCGGAGGAACTTCAGATCCAAGACACCTCGGTGCAGCGAGTTCCAAGAAACCTCGACTCACGGTGTTTGAAACATCTTCCAAAAAAACGCGGAAAAACTGTAGCCCGACAGTCAAGCAGTCTTTATGATGACACTACCACGCATGGCATATAACTAGATTTAGATTCCCACGAATCTACTGGTTGTACGGGAGCTTTACCATTGTAGGACAAATTGATTTACATGGACCACTGCCTGTCTCATCTCCACTCAGCCCCTTGACCTCCCCCTTCACTCAGTCCGCGGACGCTCGAAGAAGTCCTCTTGCCGGTGGATCACATTCACAAAGCCCAACGAACCTCGTCTCCCGAAGCGATGCGGAGCAGGAAGGAACCATTCTACCGGCCGAGGAGCGAAGATGGTCCGCACAGGCGCCGTCGTAGTAGAAGGGCATCCAAACCTCGCTGTGGAAAGCCAAGGGCTGAGCTTGACTTCTTGATATTCATCCACCAAAAGCGGCAAATACCCATCAACCTCCCGAAGAAGCGCTGGAAGAAGGAAAACATTGGAGAAAACTATGACCCAACATCGTTGAACTGCCTCCAACCACACCAAGTCACGGTCTTCTTCTTGTAGGCCTCGAAATACCTCGGAGTGCATGATGTACACAGTAGAGCTCAACATCTCTTGTCCGGAGCCTCCTTCTCCGTCCTCCAAACCAAGTCTTTTTGGGGGCAGCCTCTCTGACCGACCGGCCTGACGGCGACCGCCCCGTGTCTCGGGCCGCAGCGGTGCGATGGCCTGCCAAGCCTCCCGGGTCGTCTGCCACTCATCATTGGCCACCCTGCACGAGACGCACCGAAGCTGCTGTGGGGAAGTGTGAGGATATGAAGGAGCCTCAAAAGTTGCTGCAGAACCAGGACATGGTGCCCATATTGGGAGTTCCAATAGACTCTGAGTGTCCTCATGTCAACCCCTCATGTCATGACCCATTGATATGGGCATGTCGGGGAATGTCGGTCCTGGATCTACAAAGAATGGAAGAACACGTCTAGCCCCCTTGGTCTTCTCTTCTTCCAATCCACCGACCGCGTCGCCTGCAACTCAAGAACCCCGACTTTGTCGCCACCGGCGGTCCAACCGTCGAGCGGCCACGCCCACTGGGGCCGGGTGGAAGCGCACCTGGCAGTGACAACTCGGACCAACTTCTTGCCCATTCTTGCCCCATCAGCAATCAAAATCCCATGGTCCAGTACTTTACACCAAAAAAGCTTGTACATGCAGGTGCTGAAAGAGAAACAAGCTTCTTTAACCCCTTGAGAGTCCCTCTGGAATTATATTGTAGAGGAGCATCTATAGTATTAGGATGTATTAGGACGCTGTTAGGTGGAGGCCATCGCTAGTAGGTTGGAGGCCATCGCTAGTAGTGGCAAGAAGCTAGTAGTAAGAAGGGTGTGCCTGGACCCTTGAGCATGGGGATGTGACCAGTGGCGTGATGTTTGAGGAGTGACCTCCCACCCACTGACTAAGGAAAAGCCGACGGAAACCTGCAGCGAACTACCAGGCTTGCGGAGCGAACCCTTCAATAAACAGTGATGAGAGAAAGTCCTTTGGCGCCTAAAAGCCACAGCGGAATATCCTGGCTGCAAGTAATCCTCACACAGTTTTTCCTGTTGCCAAGGAAATTCGTGCGGGAGATCGGGAGATCGCTTTTCACCTGTGTTGGGCTCAGAAAGTCAAACAAAAACCACTTGAGCAAACACCTGCCCCACTAGTAGTTAGTAGTAGTGCAAGCGGCAAGTGGGTGTAGGAATTGATGCGATCATCCAAATCCTGCACCCGCCAGGAAAACCTTCTTGGGATGGCCCATGCACAAAGCAAATATCAATGGAGAAAGTGTGCAACATGCTTCCCGACAAGGGCTCCCCACAAGTCCCTGACATGTTTAGGTATTGCTTTCCCCATGACAGTTCTGTTGTGCTTCACATTTTGGGAAAATCCCATCCTCCCAAGAAACTCGGCCTTCGTCTTCCTTCAAAATCTTCCTCGCGTGCGTGGCACGGACACCTTGATTGGTGCCAAACATCTTTGGAAAAACGTGAGATTATTTTTGCCTCCAAAAAAGGAACGATTTCCGATCTCGTTCAAAGCAAATTGTTTATTTGTTTTCAGTCTTGTTCCTGGGATCAAAAAACAAGTGAACGTGTTCAATCAATTTTTCAACACTTTGACCGGAGACCTCCATGCAAATTTGTGGGTCCAAGGAGCAACCGGACCGGACCACTCGGCTTCAAACCGAAACCAACTCCAAAAGCATGGATGTTTCAAACGTTTCGATGTTTTCACCGTGGAGGGTCTACTTGATTCTGGTTTCGGGCATCCTGTGCATTTGAACCCTGGGTCAGGTTGAACCACCTCGCATCGCTAACCCCCAAAATCATCGATACCTTGCACTGTCCCAAATTATCCTGATACCAGCCTGGTGATTTACAGGGAAAAACTGAAACGATCTACTGGCTGGGGAACCACCCAACAAGTGCCCACATACACACAGACGAGAAAAGGAAACGCAAACCCAAGCCTAGTTCCACACAACGGTTGATAAACAAGCGCTCCTGCACAATCAGGGAACCGTAGGAACCACATGCCGAGTTGAGTACACGTGCAGAAGAGCATCCCTCAATGCCGCCGTGGGGTCTATTGTGCAAGCCTTTTTCTATCAACTGTGTTGCTGCTCTGTCCTGGTTTTCTTTCTGGAACTTTTCCCATGGCGTAAACTCGCAACCATGTGCGCACCAGAATCCTGCAAAATCCCTCAGAAATGATAGATTTGCATGTTTTCTATGTACTGCTTGGTTTATACTGCACGTAGACAGTCACTGTCTACAACAATCTATGAGATCTCACATCTATCGATCGAAGTCTCTGCTTGAGAAATGTACACAGGCGGACATGTGGACACGAACCTCTTTTAAGTATCTTCATATATCATCATCATATTTCATCCAAGTGTTCCTCCAGAGCCGAGTGTTGACCGCTCATGGGGGCTCCTCAATGCTTTTATAAACCGGGTTATTGCGGATAGTGCAGTCTTTTGGACACTAAGGGCCTTCGGTACAGTACGTGCTGTACATGTGTGAAGTGCGTTCTTTGATTGTTCGCACTCCCCCTTGTTCCAACTCAAAAAGGTAGGGCATCGCAATCCAAAAACTCGTAATGCCTGCTGGTGTCGTCATAAATTTCTAATTTCTGCTCGTGTTGATCACTTTGGCTTGCGGCCCACCACTGCTTCTCACACCTCATGACATGTTGCTTGGCCCCAAGGGATGACCTAGCTTCTGGTTTGTCAAAAGTTGCAAGCCTTCGAAAGTGAATGCCAGTTACCCAACCTGATGTAGCTTGGTTGCAAGTTGGGTCATCAAGACTACTTGGCAATTGCATTTCGTCCTAACACATCCTTCAAATCCAGCGCTCCCAACAAGAAAGGATGTCCACCATCCTCTTCTTCCTTCTTCCTCATCAGATATAGCACTGGCAAAAGTCGCAGGCTTGACCCCCACTTGCTGGACTATGGACATCATCTGGTCGGTCATCGGCGCGCTCTTGCCACCATCCTCGATCTCCAGAGATGTCCTTTTCCCTTGCCATCTTTTGCTCCTCCTCGCTAACAAAGTTGTCCCTTGCTCTTGCCTTTATCTTTTCCTTTGCCCTTGGCTTTGGCATCTTTGCCTCTACCTTTCTGATCTTTGCCGCCATTTCCTTGCTGCACCCTGTCGATCTCCATCGGTGCCAAACCTTGATCTATCGTTGACTGCGTTGGGCTCACCCTGAAAAAATAAAGCAATTCCACCGTGTTGCACGAGTTTCCTTCATTTAACGTGAGTTTTTAAATGTGTCTTCATCGGGCCTCCAACTGATCAAATCTGATGACAGCTTTCCTCCTCCAAGCCCGTACTGCTCCTCCAACTTCAGGACCTGAGGAAGGATCACTCCAACGAGCCTTCCCTGCACAAGTCCCACAAGATGGGCGTAGAGGGGCCTGCTCTCCATCTGAAAGCAAATCCCAGCCGAAGTCAGTGGATGGGTTTGCCTCCATCTCATCGATCTCTTCTCGCCACGCCCCATCCTCCACAAGCAGATGCTGCAGGCTCCAGAGAGGGACGAACTTTTGGAAGCTTACCATGCCCCCTCCGCCCCCCTCCGACGAGGACCACTTTGACCCAGCCGTTGCTGCCCAGCAAGCCAGGTGCTGCGCCCTCGCCTCTGACGGGGAACTTTCCAGGGCTTGCGCGGCCCTCACCGCCCCCCCTCTCCTTTCCAAAAACGCGGGGGTCCTGCAGAAGCTTCGCGACCGCGCTGGCCCTGCCCGCCCCGCCTTGGTCCCCTGGACCTCCCAACCAAGCAGCCGTCCCCGACATTACCGGTGAGCACCTGCGA